AAATGATGAAATTAATTTGAAGAATTTATTTATTTATATTGTGTTAGTGCGTGGGGGGAATCTAAAAATAAGCAAGCATATTTGTTGTACAAACAATACAAAATGAGTAGTGCTGAATCCAGATTTGTCCTATGAGACATGCCAAAGGATTGGAGCAGTAGGAACTGTGAGGGAGCAAAAATTTTTCTGTGCGGACTCCTGACGTAACTCTACGTGCAGCGCAAGATATTCCTGAGTTATTTTCAGGTTATTTCTATGTTATTTTCAATAATCCCGAAATAACCCGCGGTCTTTATTTTTGGGTTATTTCTGGGTTATTTCGGGATTATTGAAAATAACCCAGAAATAACCTAAAAATAACTCAGGAATAACCTGCACCGCATGTAAAGGTAAGCAGGTGTCCGGACAGAAAATGCGCGCGTGAGAAAGAGGTAGAGAGAGACAGAGAGGGAGAGAAAATGAGAGTGCACATAGATTTATCCTGTAGAGGCGAATGAGTTATTCTTGGGCTCTGTGACCCAATTTATTTATTGTAACTTGTATGTGGAAGTTACAAGAGAGAAGTGGAGAGATTTCTCCCTATAGAAGATAGAGCTAGAGAGAAGAGCCAAAAGGCAAAAGACAAAAAACCTCTAATACATGTTATGACCCCCTATTTATAAAAGATAGAGGGAAAAAAGATAAAATTACATACTTTCCCCTTGCTTTAAAAGGGGTTTTACAGTTTTTATGGAATTTTTTCATATTTATAACCACTTTAATAGATTATTTGTCCTTTTGCATGTCCAGACCTTCTGCTCTGCAGGTCCTTGGGTAGGTTGATTGAGTTGTCGGTCCGCTATTTTGTTCGGATACCGGTCGGCCTACGCACTGAGAAGTTTGTCGATTTTTTAATCTTTTATCCCGTCGGTATTAGGGCGCTCTGTCGGCTTTTCTGATTATTTTTCCTTGGTGGTGTCAAAAAGCTTTTGGTCATCTAACCTTTATTCAGTCGGTAGCCCTTTGGTTGGCCGGTGGTCTTTAGCGGGTAGGATTCATGATGCATTGTAACTTTTCGTCAATTTTTCGGACCATTAGATTGTCTCCAAATTCATACATACCATTTTTGGTTCTACAAGTAGAGTATCATTCTCACGAGAATACAACAACAACAAACCTCTATCCCACTAAGTGGGGTCGGCTATATGAATCCTTTTTCTCCTTTGTGTCCTATTTAGTGTCATATTTTCATTTAAATCTAATAAATTGAGATCATTTTTTATACATTATTCCCAAGTCTTTCTAGATCTACCTCTATCTTTCTTAACATAAGTCGAATAAAAACATCTACTCTTCTAATCGGATCATCAAATGATCGACGTTTAATTTGACAATCCAATTCATAAAAATGTTAGAGAATCACAATTGAAAATCTAAAAAGTTAAATATTAAATAAATATTGTCCTATTTTTTATTAAACAAATTCAACTGATAATAAAACTACAATCTAAGCGATATGATACAAATTTATAATACTTAATCTAAATTGCAAGTCAAAAGAGAAAACAATGAATTTATAGGTTCATCGAACATCGTACTTGATTTGTAATTGGATCCAACATACATTAAAATGATTGTCAATTGAGAGCTATACATCTTCTAGCCTCATTTTGATAACTTAGGAAGTTCTATGTTTGAAAATTACTTCACTTTATTATTATTAGCATTCATAAGATCGTAAGTTCAGTTCTTAAACAATGGCAAGAATAAATTGATTATATTCCTACTCTACCAAATAAATATGTTTACATCTTTTTCTCGAGTAAAAAACAACTCTTATGATATCATTAAAAGCTAGATATTTTAAATTGAATGCTGACTAATTACTCAATTGAATGAAGTTCTTGATACATCAAACAATTCTAATAATAAAGAGCACGTTTTTTAAATTATTTTATTAAGCAAATAACTTTAATTTCACCATAAACCCAGATAAACATAATGTTCATAACAAATGCAAGAAAATAAGAATTTGAAGGTATTACAATATAAGGAGGATTAAAATAAACACAATGGTTAGTGTATATCAAAAATGTTTCGGTGTTGATCCTGAAGAGACCTCACATTTCAAAGAGTGCGATGATGGAGACCACACAGACAAAAGTGTGAGGCCCACTTATATGACAAGGTGCAACTCTCCGAGCCAAAGAATCTGACCGGGCGATGGGAGGACAAAAATATGATCAAGTGATCCCAACCCAAACCATTTGAACTGAAATGAGATAAATAGGAATCTAAGCCAACCACTATAAGAAAGTCGACCCAATACAATAGCCTATTTTCGGGTAGATCTGATCCAAGTAAAGATCCAGTTCAGCAATATTACCAATCATCCCCACATAAACCCCTAAGGCTCCTCATCAGGGATCAGGAATTAACCTAGCGACAAAGAGTTTTATATTCATCCTTCTAGCTCTCCTGTTGAGAATCGAACTACATATCGGATTAAATTGATTTACCCTCTACTAAATTGTCTAGCATCGCTCTGCCAACAGAAGCTCATCGCTTAGAATCTAGGGGTCGACAGCCATACTAGATCGGTCGATCGACAACGCCACCAATGCTAGCAGTGGAATTGGTACTATCGACTCAAAGATGATCGAGCTCAACTGATCAAGCCGGAGAGCAGTTGAGAGATATGACCGTACATATAAAATATCAAGAATATATTGTACAACCCCATTAAAGCAAGTAAAAAATGTAACATTGTTATGGTATACTCTCTTCCTTAAAATAGGGAGATTACTTTATGAATAAAGATGATGGACATGATTTACACTATATTTTACTATACACTCTCCCATCTCTCTCTTCTTTTACTCTATTTTTTAGGCATGATTCACGAAGAAATTAGAATTCAACATCCTAAAATGTATGGTGAGTATGGATCATGTTATAGACAAGAAGAGGAGCAGTCCATAGAGAAGAACCCCTCAATAGAGATATTCAATAAAGATACCAACAACATGGAGTGAATAAGAGAATTTGTGAACCACTAGATCCAGGATTTGATGGATCAAATAATGGATTTCATCTGAGAAGCAACGACTCGGTGAAGAAAGCAGTACCACTGAGAGAAAGGGATGACACAAAACGGTTGAAGAGTCCCCCAGGCTCTGTGATGGGAAAGTGACTTTCAATATTTTGATAGTGTTAGGTTAGCATT